TTCAAACGGCTCGTTTGGAACGCGCAGATGAACGATATGGTATGAAACTTGGTAAGTACATGCACACGGGCTTGCAGGGCTTAAATGAGGAGTTTCATTAAAAAATTATGTGACTGAAGGTTGTGGCAAACTTTTTTCTGAAAATTTTGCGCTACCAAAGAAATGGAAAAATGGCTCGTTTGCAACGCAGAGGTAACGAAATCGCGCGGGTTTCGGTGTGTATATGCGCAATAGGACTAAGTAACAAAGTATGAAATACTATGAAAAACTTATGTGAATGAAGAGCGTGCTTAACTAATTTCCAAATTAGGTCGGCATTTGCCGACCTAATTCCCACCTGAGGTCGGCAAAACTCTCATTTCACATAATTTTTTCAAAATTTTTACATAAATCTGTTGTACGCCTAAAGTTTACTACATGTTGAAATTTTGGTTCCGAAACTCCTCCTCTTGTCCTTGTTAGAGCCCAAAATCGCATCAGCAGCCTAGCTTTCTAAGATAGAAAGCGCGCCCCAGTCAATCGATACGCGCGGGAACGGCGTCTCTCATTCCTATGACTGCGTTTCATTGATATTTTTTCATTCCTTAATCATTTTTCTTGCTTATTTTTCTTCCTGTTTTCTATTTTGATACAGCTGAGGAATAGTTTGAGGAATTTGAGCAATTTGGGCGCTTTTGAGCGCTTTTAGGCGAAGTGTGGCCGGTAATCTCGTCGCACAAGCACGAAACGTCATTTTTGGGCTCAAGGGAGTATTCGTAAAATTTATTGAAATCAAAGGGGAATTCGTTTTGGAAAACCCCGTTTGCCCACCTCGTGCCGGGCCTTGCCTGAAATGTGCAGGCGGCCGCGCAACATAAACTAGTACCAGCATATGCATAGAACAGGGGAAGTTGGTTATCGAAGGCAGTCGCGGAGATTGCACAGCCAAGTGCAGGTTAGTTTGTTGCAGTTACAGTGCAAGTTGTTGCCTGTCAAGACGATAATTGTGGAGATGGTACAGGCCATCCGTGTACTGCGTTCAGAGAGCATTCAAAAAATCCATAACTGGAAGAAGCGCAGGGAGAAAATAAGAGAATGCAGGAGGAAGGAGGGATGACGCGCTGAACACAATTCCGCACTCTGCGCGGATGGACTATATGCAGGACAGAAAGGCCAGCGGACATGCTTGCATAAGAAGAAAGGAGTGCGAAGCAGGATTATTACAAACAATTTTGAGGCTATCGGCCCACAAAAAGTTGGGGAGCGTCTCAAAACATTCGAAAGTCATGGCTAGCCGTAACCTTTCATTCACAAAATTATATCTGTCCCCTTTCCCCCCTTCCCCCCCCCGAGCAAAATCTTTCGGCCGGCTGCCGAAGTACATAGATATGTAGGTTGATGCAAATTCAATGTCTTTGGAGATTTCAAACGCAAAGTTTGTAATCTGTATGAAAAAAAGAAGTTTGGCTGCACGACAAATTACGACTCAACGTTCTGCGCCTAGCCTCGGAGATCTATGCTTATAAAGACGACACTTCAAATATAGTGATTGTGAGTGCATGCCTGAAGCCGATTTGCAAATGCAAAAAATCCAGAAAACTCGTAAAACAATATCATTCAGGTAACATCGTATTCCCCATTACTGCAATTTTTCAAACGCGGTTTCACTACCCAAAAAAATGTCACAGCGTTGTAGGTAAGTACCAGTTCAGGTTTCTAATTACAAGCTGTGTTTTCGTGAAAAAAAGCAGTGATAAGTGGTTTTGCAAAATGATCTTCACGAAATTGTTCATTCATATCATGCGATCAAAATCCGTCATAGTTAATGGGCCATCGTCTTATAAAAGTTTTTGCTCTGAAAAATTTTTTTCCGACTAAACTAATTATCGCGAGATTTACAATGCCGTTTTAGAATCTCAGTTTTCCGAAACAAGTCAACAGAAACTTGAGCTTGAAAATTGTGGTAAAAAGCCCTTTTCATTTTTAACACAAAAACAGAAATGGGATAAGACCTGCAAAGTTATTGAATTGTGCTCTAATTTCAAAATTTTGACCTCTCCCATTCCAAGGAAGCAAACCGATATTTTCAATAGTACGTACTCAGTTTACAAGAATTATCTGATTAGAGTCATGAAACTTCCGAAAATTGAATCAGTTTCGTTAAAAATCTCTCCCCCTCCCCCTTCCCCTCCACATCCCGAGAAAAAATTCGGACTCTACTGAAATATTAAGTCGTTCCGAAAGTTCTTTCCGTTTTTTCAACATATCTTAAAAACACGTGGAACGAAGAAAGAGAAACGCTTCAGGCACTGTCCGACGCATCTTTTCTTCCTCTTTTCAAATATCATATTCCTATGCCGCTCGCTCTTGTGGTCAGTGAGATAATGACCGAAATTTCGGACCTATGGTTTTTACCATGTCCAACTTTGGCAATTTTTCACTATCTTCTTTTTTGATTTTTGGAAAAGCTTTGATAGCAGTCGGATAGAGTAAACAAAGTGCAATACAATGCAATTTTTTGGCAATTTCATGGCTTCGCATTATTTTTTGAGATAACTTCTTCAGAAGTCTTCACTTTTTCAAAGTCACAAAACACAAAACGCTCTGAACATCAACAAATCTTCGGCTTACGAAACTTTCAAAAGTTGTTTATGATTGTACACTATTTTTACAAATTAACTGAGCGTTTACCGCTTCGAAATATAAGATTTCGCATTTCACGGGCACATCATAAGGCGGGTTCAAAGTCAAGAGTTATGGAAATTTTATCGCCAAAGACTCCACAAACTAAGAAGAAAAAGCACTCATCAGAAAGAGGAGAAAAAGCTGCATCGAATGACACCTTAGTTATGCGCCGTTCTATGTTCTATGGCTTCTGGCATCCCCAAAAGTGTAATTTGATAGCATCAGAAAAATAATTCTAAAAATGTTTTGAGGCTAGCTATAGATGCCGAAAAATTGCATAATATTGCACTTTGTTTATTTTATCCGACTGCTATCAAAGCTTTTCCAAAAGTCAAAAAAGAAGATAGTGAAAAATCGCCAAAGTTGGACATGGTAAAAACCATATGTCCGAAATTTCGGTCATTATCTCACTGATCACAAGAGTGAGCAGCACAAATATGGTAGTTGAAAAGAGGAAGAAAAGTTGTGTTGGATAGTGCCTGAAGCGTTTCTCTTTCTTCGTTCCACGTGTTTTTATGATATGTTGAATAAGCGGAAAGAACTTTCGGAACGACCTAATATATTCACAGATACCTCGTGAGCATGGTGCGAAGTATACGATTTACAACGTTTGCTTTGACAAAAAGTCAGATAGTCAAAAAGGATCTAAAAGTGCTTGAAGATGAATTTTTCAAAGTCAAGGGGCCCATGACATCTTTATGGCGTTCCAACCGCTTCAAACTATGCTAATTTTCTCGTTCTTTCTTGAAATATTCTTCTTTTGATTTGAAACTCTGCAAGCAACAGCACGTATCGTCTGTACTAAAAACAGGACCATACTCTGGACGCTACACAATAGGTAAATTGCTTTACATGATTTCTGTTACGAGATGAAAACTACATTATCATGACTTATAATAACGGGCTAAGGGTGCTTACGTGACTTTGTGTGTCTGCGTGTCTGTTGCGAAACTCGTAGAGCATGTTCCAGCCAACGTCCTGAGCCCAAATTTTGCACGGCGCATGCTAGCAGCATGAAAGTCTGCTATGCAAAAGCACGAGCGGATCCGCTGAGTGGATCCCCAAAAATTGCACGTCAAACGGATCCGCTTGGCTTCTGGCCAGCAAAATTGGGCCGGTACCAACACTTTTTGCGAACTCATGGATAAGTTTGACAAGCTAATGTGCAAACCATTAGACAAGACATTAGCCCAAAAAATTGAACTAAAGTTGATTACTTCGAGAAAACGGCGCCAACAAAAAAATAAGTTGCATAAATGTTCAATTTGCAGAGATTTTACGTGATCGTTCGAGAAGATTTCTGCAGAGATGTAGCTCACGGTGACTATTGTCGTTATAGCGACTATCAGGTCATAAAAGTCCAAAACTCGATTTAAATTCGCATTTGTTTTCCTCGGAAAAGTTTTATTTACAGGAAAATACCGACCTCACACAAAAAAGCTCTAGGAATGAGTAGTTGTTCACAAATCATTCGCAATAGCCTGCATGGCACGGTGAATTTCAGTGTTCATTATTATGCGGGAATGAGTTAGGCATATGGAAAGTATAGCCAGTGCGAGCCTCTGCGAAGCAGAGGTGACTCACTGGTTATACTTTCCACCAGTGCTTCACCTCTGCTTCGCAGAGGCTCGCACTGGCCATCAAGAAACGATGCTAAACTTGCGTTGTGGAGGTTTTCTTTTAGATAATTGCCAGGTTGACTGCGGTGAGAGAGTCCTAATTAAAAATGAACCATACTCGCTATCACAGCCTCACATGCCATGCAGAATATTGTAAATCATTCCTCACTGTATTTACAAATCAGAAAGACTTAGGCCCCAGGCAGACTTCACGCGATTTAATCGTCGCGACTGAGTCGCGACGAGACAGCTGTTACAACATCATTCCATGCCGATCAACTTGCATTCGGTTGTGATACTTTTCCAGACCGAAATTTTTGAACGTGAAATGAAAATGAATGGAAATCTTGGCGATTAGATCGCGACGATTGAGTCGCGTGAAGTCTGACCGGGGCCTTACAGACCGACAAATAAGCGGATTATTACAAGTCATGATATGTCATATGGTTATACTTTCCATACTTTCCATAAGCCTATATCCAAGTTGTCTCGAGGATCTTACGTTTTGGTCTGCAGCTATAAGAGTAAGTCGTAGAGTACAAAAATCAGTGATTGCACGCCATCATGCCATGAGACGGGTTGTTGAAAAGTGAAAAATTAAAGTTTCGTGCAAACACGCATAGGCTGCAAAAAAAAGCTTTTTTAATTTACTTGCTCTGGAATTCTGCCCTGCTACACTGTAATTGTCTCAAATCAATATTACTTTGACCAAAATCTTTATACAGAGGATCCATCATCGGTGGACGGTGCCGATGAACCTTTGCCAGGTTGCGCCAAGCACGCTCCCACCTTGTTGCCATCCTTAGGATCCGTGAACACGCCGCAAAGGAGTTCTTCTGCATTCTGCGCGCTCTAAACATATATTGCCTGTTACTTATAGCACAAGTACAGTAAATGCTTAACATAGCCTATGTAAAATCGCTATAGTTGTAGAGAAAAAAATTATGCTATCAGGCTGCGTAACAGATTCGTTCGCATTCTTTAGACTGATTTTCCTCAACATTTTGACAGGTTTTGCAAGGTATATGTGTGCCTCCAAAAGATCTAAATCTGCTGTTGCATTTTACTTGCATCGATTCTCCAGTTCCAAAATATTTGAAAAAGGTTTTGGTTTACAAAATATCCGACGAGGCAAAAACAGTGACATCAGCTTTGCTTCAAGTTTTGAATTTCAGTGACGTTTTTTTTGACAATCTCGAGTACAAACAAAACATCAGGGCAGTTACTCATGCAATTACTGTCGCTGTCTCCTTTCTTTTCATTGACTGCCTGAAGTTATTGATCCAAGATTCAGCGAAGCAAATTTTTTTTCACGAGTCGAAATCCGACTTTCGAATCTAAAAATTAAATTGAATTAAAAAGTAAAAAAATTCGAATCTAAACTTTGATTTTTTGTTTAAGAGCTTGTAGCCCCATGATTTCGCAATAACGTCGTCTTTTCACCAATTACCAAATTGCACGTCAGTGCTCCTTCCTCTTACAGTTAGGAGAGTGCTTCATTGTTAATGTCGAGGTTGAAAAGACGTTAAAAAGGAAAGCTTTAATTACATTTTTGAGATTCTAGGCGAATTTAAGTAGTATTCGGAAGTTACAGTAGTTCTTGTATAAACGTTACAGATCTTTGGAGCTGTTTTATGCCTATTTTGACCTATTTTTGGAATGGCAACGTAATACGTGTACATAGCTATCGTTTGCGAAACTCACCACAAAAATTCCATTTCAGAGCTCTGAAATTTTTTTGGGTCCAATTTGGAAAAAAGCGCTAAATTGTAGGAGATGATGACCTTTGGCAGCATGTACACATTTCACGAAGTACAGAAAATATTAAGAAAATGTGAATGAGAAATGCGAACTGGTATGCGCATGATATTGAATCATCTCGAAGTTCTTTAGGGCTTTTCCACCCTCATAAAAAAACATGCCAAACATTATGAACACCAACTAAAGCAGCTTTTCTTTCTCTGTTTAATGGCCACGTTTTCGTACTCTTTCTATTTTACATCAAAATAATAGCAAAAACTTTGAACCCATTTTATTTGCCATATCCAAATTTGAGAATATTTCAAAGTCTTCGGTGTAAATTTTTGAAAGAGTTTTAGTGACAGATGGATGGAGTAACCAAAGTCCGATGCAACTGTTTAGACATCGCCAACTAGCTTTTCAGTTTTAAGATAATTTCTCTTTAAGTTTTCACTTTTGAAAAGTTGTATCATACACACAAGCATCAAGCACTGAGAAATATTGGTGATTGAGAATAACGAAGTCGATTATCATTCAACGTTCATTGAAAGACTAAATTGGGAAATCATAGAAAAAGGCATATAGTGTACAGAAATTTGCAGTTGTCATGTTTGTCTTCAAAGGTTCGCGAATCAGGAACAAAATACGAAGAGGAGGAAAGGCTGTATAGAACAAATTGTTGTTCTAACATCTCTGTAAGCTTAGCTTAACCAAATACGAAATATGATAGCTTCAGGAAAATGGCCTTTTGAACTTCGGAAAATGGCCTAAGAAGTTTCGAAAAGCCAGCTGAAGATGCCAAAAAAAAACTTATTGTATTGCAATTGTATTGCACTTTCTTCACTCTAAACGACTGCTATGAAAGCCCTTCCAGAAGCCCAAAATAAAAACTTTGAAAACTGCCAAAATTTTGTATGATAAAGACATATCTTAACACTTTTGCGATTACTTTATTAACCGCAAATGTAGCTAGCCCGAAAGCATGAATGCTAAAAAAGGAAGGTTTACTTCTTCGAAATGCATTTATTGGCTATTTTTATACCACGTTCTTTTATTACGATGAGTCGAAAAACTGGGAAAGACTTTTGACTTTACTCAAAACATATAATAAGAAAACGATTTTTTTATGATAAAGATGTCAGATGGTTTGAAATAGCGTCGAACCAGTATTACACTGCTGACACCATCATAAATGTAGGTACCTTAAAAACCACTGTGATTTGTGTTCTCGATGAACCTGTTCGAAGTCGTGTCGCATTGTGAGCATATTAGCCTGCCATCGTTCCCCAAGATGGCTTCCAATCTTGAAGAGTGATGGCAGTGATGACAATCCAATCAATCTCGTTAGTCTTTAACAGAGAAAAACAGAAAAATCTGAAAGAAGCTCGCTTGAAGGTTGGACACTACACCAATGTATTATAAATCAACTCGCTTGTTTTTTAGATCACTATTGCATTCTTTGGACCTTAATTTTGCTTGTACATCTACTTTTTGAAGTACGACACATTCGATTCAAAAAGAAATGATAACTGCATTTTCGCGTTTGGTAGCATTAACAGGCGATTTACTTTAACAAGCAGCTGTTCTAAGGAGTTTTCGAACTCTTGTTCATTTCAATCAAATGTTATGGAATCTGTAACCTTCGCGATAAATAAGGTGAAAACGCTTTCATAAATAGCTAAGTAGCTTTCATGAATTTTCCGCGATATCTGATATTGACGGCCGGAACTTTGTTTTGCGGCAGATGTCATTCTTTAAAGTTGAGCAGAGCACCGGGCACAGCCATAGCCAGTTTAGAGCTCCTGTTTGGACGGAGGACCTCTCAAAAATTCTAAACCTTAGTTTTGAGCTATTTCATAGAATCTGACTTACATTACAGAGAATTACCGAGATTCAGGGTCATGTTCGCGATCGCATCAGTCACTAGGGAAGATTGGGAAGTTTTTGAAGCACTGTATCATCAGATAGGCAGTGTGATAAATAAAACCGCCATCTTACATCTTGAAAATGAATTTTTAAACTAAAAGCTGCTTATCCAATGGTTGATCGAAGCTTGTTCGTTTTGGAAATGATTAAGAGCTTGAAAGGCTTTAGATCAGCTGTCTATTGAAGCAAATTTCTCAATTCTTTCAAAAGCAAATGCATTTCATTTCTTTTCATATAGGACGACAAGTAAGTGTTGCAAATGTGTCAAACTTTGGAGCGAAGCTGCAAAAAGTTTGAGAGTCAAAGAATGCAATACCGGATGAAGAGAGCGAGTGTATAGTGTTGGCCCGTAGTAAACCCCCTCTCAGCGCAATTCGGCTGGGGGCGGGCCTACGTTGAACGTAGAACGACTAGGTCCGGCATCCGGTGAGCCATCGATCCGGATTCGGATCGCTTTCTAGACCTAGAGATCTTGTGCATTCTCAAAAACCAAAAACTTGAGCGTTTTGATCGAACGGCTAAGTGAATGGGTTTCAACACGAAAGTCCAAGGTTCAAAGCCGGCTGGGGCACATTTTTGCGCCACCGCAGGACAATCTTTGATAGCGGCCGCTCGAGGAAAATCGATGGCGACCGCTATCAAGGATATCGCCAAGCAAACAAATGGATAAAACAAAACAATCATATCTTGACAAAGATATCACGACGAAAATGTTGGAACATAAAACAAATGAGCAAATCAAGAAGTTGTTTTAAAGCAGTTTTCAAAAGAGGAACGTAAGCAAGCCTGAAAAAAGAAGAAATCCTGCTTTTTTAAATTTTCTCTCCGCAATCAGCTGTTCATTGATTCTCTCCCATTTAGGCCGCCGAAACTGTGCAATTTTGGGAATTTCGCATCGCAGTAGTGCGTGAACTCTCCCGTAAGTTACTCACGAGCAACTTACGGGAAATTTGTCTGATCCTCCTCGTAAGCACACTATCTCTCTTGGGTCACCCGAAAATTCAACCTCGGATAAGTGGCGTTCTGGTGAACTGACTGTGACACTTGACCGGACAGTCTTCTGACTGTTAAACTTACTATCCTAAAGCACGGGAAGGTGGGGGGATTAAGTTTACCCGAGGAAGTTCTTCTGAATGAATAATCTCAAGTCACCTAAGATGAATGGAGGTTTACTACGGGCCGTTGTATTGAGAGTGTTCAGATTTCAGTGAGAACTTTTTTTTATTTTACTTTGTTTTGATTTACGACATTGGAAGCCGCTTTAGGGAACGATGGCAGGCTACATACGCCACGGCAGCAAAACTTCAGATAAGTTGATCAACGGGAAATACGGTGATTTTTGAAGTGTTTTACAATATTGTCTATCCTTGTATATTACACTTTTTATTACAAGTATTCAACTTCGATGAGCAGATTAAGTACTTACCTTATTGAAGCCACTGCCAAAGTACCAACCGAAGGGATAAGGATGGTTGCTTTTTGAGCTAAATGGAGGAAAATCATATCTTGTAACGTTAGGCTAAAGATTTTCGGCCTTACAAGAATGTAAGAGCGTTCTCGTCTGCTGGGAGAGTGAAGGGTTTCACGAGATCCCATTTTTTCACTTCAAGTATAGAGATCTCTTCTTCAAATTTGCTCTGATCTGTTAGACACTTGAACTGAAAGGTAACAGATTTAACAGGTTTGAGAATAATGATAATAGTTGTTGTCTAAATAAACTTGTAACAGCAATTCGAGGGATTTTAAAGAACACTGTAAATAAACGAACGTTTAGTACACGATCCATGCCCATTCCACCTGCTGTCACTCCCAATAAAAGGCCTTGTAATTTGTCATCCGGACATTCTATTTTGAATTTGGAATCATCACCCGCATCAGCCGAAGATGGGACTTGATCCTCACTCGTACCAACCACAAAAGACAGAATCTAAAAATGTTGCAGTCGGTAGGAATATCATTAGTATACCTTTAGACTGACCACAGAGGATACGCAAAGTTGCAAAAACATCGTTGAACAAAATCTCTGAAATTTTGTCCTTTATATTGCTTAGGAACACAGTATCCTACATGAAGTGGCCATTCGTAATTCCTCTTTCGAAGGTAAATTGGACTTTGTTGGTACTGCCATCAAATAATTGTTCATTTGTCAGCTATTATGGAATCCTTACAATCACTCATTTCAATCAGAGGTAATTTTGCACGAGCTAGAAAGACGTGCCTAAAAATAGCTCGGACAGAACGGACGATCAAAGAGCTGCTAGCAAATAGAATGAGGTCACCTGTGCAAATCTATAACACACGAATGGCTAGGGAAACTGGATGTTGTAAAAAAAAGCAATTGTGCTTTTAAAGCTCTAGGGGCTGCAAGCAAAAATCAAACGTTTTACAATGATGTGATTACCATAGCATCGCTATTTAAAATGCAAACGTGCTAAGATTCTCTCTTTAATTATCCTTCTGAGACAATCTCTTAAATCTACTCTGAAGGTGTCATTTTCAAACAAGATTGAATCTGTCTCAGAATATATTAAACACTTCTTTTCTTATCCGTGCTAAAAGTCTAGCTTCAAGCCCTTGCCAAACAAGGAATGTACAATACCTGCAAAAATACTCTTCAACGACTTTTCCTATTTTGGGTCTCCACTTGATGTATGACTATGAAGCCAATTCAAGCTGAGGCAGCAAATATTATTCTAGTAGAATCTACGTGCTATGCAAAGTCACTATCAAAGCTTAGTTGTCAGAATCGTACTCAAAACAAAACTGATGAGTTGCTTTAAAGTCTAGCAGCTAAACTTTTGCAGTCTTATGCCACTTTTTGACTCGACTTGAAAAACCAGCTGCAATACTTTGAATTTTGATCGTTAGCTCAGAAGCTATTTTGCCAATTGTCTGATAGACCAAAACAAGCCCTTATTTTCTGCAAGTGTAATGCTTCTTAAAAATCTGCTTTAGATGCCAAGTTTGCTGTTCATTTATACTGTGTGGGATTGTGCAATCGCTGACAGTGCGTGCAGCCATCAGAAAAATCTCTTACTCGCTTATTTTCCTTCCAGAACGACACACGATAAATGCTTGCGAATGGAGTTATTTGGTTGTCATAATAATGGCGTTTTTTTGCCTTCAAATCGTCATTTCTCGGGAACTAGTGCTGTCGCAGGTGTATAATTATATAGGTGTTACTTCCAAAAGTTTTTAGTGTTTGACTGCATGATCGAAGGCCAAGTTTGCTGGGTGCGGAGTGTGCCATATTTTGATTATCTTTTTTTTCTTGGATTTTAGTCAAGAAGCATCACGGCAAATGTTTATATTCTTACTTCTAGGTGTTTGCTACGCTTATGACTAACCGAAAGGTTTCTGAGACCAGACTTGCAGGCACACGAAGCTTTTTATGCTCCATCTTCAAACTTTAGAATGTACACAGTTACCCTAATTTCACTCGTATAAGACGCACTTTTTCCGGTTTTTCAAGCGTGCAGTCAGCCGCCTCGTTGTACTTCTGAGAACGAGACTTATGCCGCGCGATACTGGCAATATGGAGCACTGTAGATAGTTTTTTGGTCGCGAAGTCCTTTGTAGAAAAAAATCCCCGCCTACTACATACACACGTAAAATTAGGGTAATGCGCACGTCTATTAGTCACCTAAAGCTTGGAGCTTGCTTTGCTGTATCGAACGGTTTCCCTTAACCAACGTTGAATGCTCATTTCTCAACAGTACCATGGAAAACACCATTGCTTTTGTTTAGATAACCTAATACAATTTTTAAGGTGCATGCGTGGGCAGCGATATGTGTACAAGTGTTTTGATTACAACATTTGCAGCGATCAGTGTTTCGTCAAAGCTAAGGTATTTTGGGATTTAATAAATTTAAGCTATAGTTGACTTTGAAAAAAATCCCAACAATATCCTTGCAAATTCAGCCGGCCAAAAAGATTTTCCCAAACACATGGTGTGCTGATTATGTAGCTTTTGTGAGCTGGCTGCAACCTAGATTTGCAGCGTAGAGCAGCGAGTCACCGATCGAGTATTTGATGCCAAATTTTCAGCAGTGACAGGGCCGGCACGAGGATGGCAAATGGACATGGTGAAACGACATCGCCTTTGCCTTTACCGACTTATACAATCTCCCATTTGATCCAGCGTCGTTGCCATTTTGGATCCTAATAAGGAAGAGAGGAGGAGTTTCGGAACCAAGATGTCACTATGTATTGAACTTTATGTATAGAACAGATTTATCTAAGAATTTTGAAAATCTTTTATGAAGCGGAAGTTGCCTACTTCAGGTGGGCAAAAGTTGGGCACGCTCTTCATTCACATAAGTTTTTCATAATTTTTCATACTTTGTTCCTTAGTCCTACTGCGCGTATACATACAAAATCTCGCACGATTTCGTCATCTCTGCTTTGCAAACGCGCCATTTTTCCATTTTTTGCTAGCGGGAATTATCCAGAAAAAAGCTTGCCACAACCTTCAGTAACATAATTTTTGAACTTCTCAGTCAACCACTGCAGGCTCGTGTTCATGTACTTATTAAGTTTCATACCATGTTGTAATCTGCGCGTTGCAAATGAATCATTTGAATTCACATCTTCATTTACCAGTTAAGCAGAAATTTTGAAGAGAATGCTTATTACACCCATTCACATAAGTATTCCATAAGTTTTCATGCTTTGTTTCCACTAGCCACTCTTCATTCGCGTACAAAATTTGGTGCCATATCGTTACACGTACATTTTGAACTAGTCATGTATGCCGTTACGGATAGCATTCGTTAAGCACTTTGAGCATGCGGCAATCAGCGATGGCGCGGTTCGACGTGCGCGAACTCCTTTGTTCGTCTGTTATTACACATAACATGCTAACAATAAGATAAGCAGAGAACATAAACTGCCGATTTTTTCCAAGTCTTCGCCCCGGACCCCGCAAAAATGATATTCCTTTTACTTTCCCCCAAAACGATTTCCAGTCTGTCATTTGCTTACCTTGTGCAGGGACCTGAGCAGTGGTGTATTTGTCCCGAGCCTTTCGATCATTCGAATAATCGGCATTAATCGCCAGAATTTCCAACCCACGTTTTTGCCTAGATTAAATTTAACTATTATTTGAACTTCCGTTTTGAACTTATGTAAGAGCTTCGATAACAATTAGATAGAATAAACAGCAATATAATGCAATTTTTGGCGTTTACGGCCAACTTTTCGATATTTTAAAACTAATTTCCCCAGAAGTCTTTCCTTCTGCAAGTAGTGAAACAAGCAAACGCTTCAAACCCTAGGAAATCTTCGAAAATTGAAACTTCCAAAATTGATGGCAAACACCAATTTTAACGAGCAAATGAGCTCTTAGCACGTCGATATACTGACTTAAATTTCCGGGTACCTGAAACTCTTCGAAAAACTGAATAATGGTGATTTTTTCCTCGAAGTTCTTACAAATTAAAAACGAGAAAGCTGCATCGAATGATTACTAGCTGTTCGCCATTTTGTTTTCTATGAGGTTTGCGATAATCAAATATGAGATTTGATAGCATTCTTATAAACTGAAAACCAACTATAGATGCCAAAAAAGCATTGTATTGCATTTTTGCTCTATCCACTGCATCAGAAATGAAAAAGGAAAAATTTAGAAAATAGCTGAGTTAGGATAGGTAATATAATAGGTTGCAAAGAAAACTATGTCATTCTTCATAGCAGCATAAGACGAATCCAAAGATGAGAGATAACGTTCGATGGATCAAAGGAAGCTTTACAAGTTGATCTTTAAAGGCAGTGGCTAGAGAAAATTGCGACTGCAAGCTTTCCACACTTACCTGGACTTTTGGATGCGCTGAGTCCAGTGTTGTGCTTTTATGGCGCTTCCCTATCCGGAGATAGCCGGAGGGGATAAGCAACCAATCGCGATGTTGACGGATTCCCACTAACATCGTAATTGGCTGCCTGAGCCGGTCAGCCAGTTACCGCCAAAAGGGTCCAGTGTTGTTGCACAATTTGCTGGTTTGCGCACGGTTTAGAGCAGAGACACAAGAGCTCATGATGCCAAAAAGAGGGTTTTCAGTATAAAAAATCTACGAAACTTTCACCTGCTCCTGTATGTAACAGACACTTGCAGTTATCCATAGATACACATGCTATATCTCTTTCGTGCTTAAAAATAAAAAAAATAAAAACTCCGCCGTCAGTAGTTCTGGTTTCCTCCCATATATGCTGATGTATATTACCAACCGTCAAATTTCTAAACATAAAATCTTGGCCTTTCATATGGCATAGTTTTGAGAAAAATCAGTTTTACCAGGAAAAAACCGAGGATAGCAACATTCTTTTCTTTCCTACCTAAGAAAAGCTATGGGACGAAGGTTACGACAGTTATTCAAACGAACAACGAGCATTGACTCGGAACAGCTCGAAAGAGATAGTTATCTGCATAAAACACGCTTGGAGTGTTTGTCTATCGTTATTTTGACCGATTTAAGGATAAGTCTGGTAAACGGCATGAACATTTGGATAAAATAATGAAAAAAAATAATGATTTAAAATAATTTAAAACAAAATAATGATCAGGAGGTATAGTGTGTGCTCTGGCCAGCTTCCCATAGGTACCTCCACGACGCGTCTAAGCTCACCATCAGCGCGTCTCTCGCTCCAGCTCTAATGCAAAATTTTTTGCTTTCCACTCTCATGTGACCTTATTCTATTGTGTAATTTCTCCATCTTATTGTTAAATATATACAACTCACGACAATAGCTGGTGATAAGATTTTACCACCCTTGAGTTTTGAGAGCTTTTGTGTCGAAAATTCCTAGCTTTTTGAGAGGGTGTTTCTGCTTGGTGAAACACCAAGCATAGTATAAGGAACTATCTCTTCAAAGGATTTTATCTATCACAGAAAAAGCGTGTCTATCACTGACAGTTTCGAGTGATGCTTTGTAGGTCCAATACGGCTAATACGGTTAATACACCACTAGGGCTTTGTTTTTGTTTTTTGGAAGTTGTGAACGCTATCTTATTG